TCTGCTTGTCTCGTTACATATATTTTTTATTTCAGTAAGGTAATACACTGTAAATAGGTATGTTCATTTTACTCGCAAATAAAGGGAGGATTTTAGAGCATAAGTGACTTGGTGGAATCCAATGTTAGTGAATCTGGAGATTATCCTTTGAGAGCTTATCCTGTGAGTACCTCATCTAGAAGACTGTAGAATCACAAAATCTGAATGATTTCCTTGATCAGTTTGTATGATGTGTTGACATATATCACTGACAGAAGTATCCATTTCACTTATTTGTTGAGCATAACAAATAGCATGGAGGACATGGGGAGTTAGGAGAAGGCAGTTGGGGGAAATTGGAAGGGGAGGTGAACAATGAGAGACTATGGACTCTGAAAAAACAATCTGAAGGGTTTGAAGAAGTGGGGTGTGGGAGGTTGGGGGAACCAGATGGTGGGTATTAGAGAGGGCACGGACTGCATGGAGCACTGGGTGTGGTACAAAAGCAATGAATACTTTTATGCTGAAAATAATAAAAAAAAAGTATCCATTTCAGTCATTTCTAAATAGCACCTTGTGGAGAAGAGCTCATGGAAGTTTTCATTATGTTCCATGAAAATCCATTGTTCTTTCTTCCATTATGAATTAATCTTTTTTCATGATTATATAAAATCATTCCCAATTTGGAAACGAGAGTCAAAAGCTTCCAGGACAACCCTAAATGATCCCCTTCTCTGTTGTAGCCAGAGACAAAGACTGTTGACCCCAAACCCAAAGTTGAAACTTGCATGTGGAAGATTCCAGCACATACTGAGTTCCAGCCTGCACTGGTTTTTATGTTGAGAAAAGGGCACTGATAGGAAGGCCTGTGCCCCTGAAAATTCAGATTGAGATAGATGGGCAGACTCCCTGAAGCTGGGAGAAAAGTCAGCTTCCTGAGCATGGAAACTGTGCAGTTACACAGCCCCCCACTCTCTCAAGGAACCCTGCCCTTGGTTTAATGCTGTGCCCTCACTGTCTTGAAATTAATACTAGTTTTAGCTTTGTACCTGTCTTTTATAAGTGAGTCCCATTAGAGGGGGAACAAGTACCTGAGCAGGGAGATAGGTGGACAGCAGGACTCAGGCAGTAACACATGCAGATTCAGTTTCTGGGTCACAGCAGGCTGTGTGAGAGCTGAGCAGTTGGCGGGGCCACCTGTGCTATCTGTGCCTGCTTTGGACTAGCTGGGGCTTTGACATGCAGCAAAGGGTGTAGTAAATACCTACAGGAAATCACTACAAATGCAAAGTGTTTACATGGACATTTCAATTAAGTGGTTTGGTAGTTTCTTACACAACTAACATACTCTTATCCTATGATCTAGCAATGGCCTTCCTGAGTCCTTTTACCCAAAGGGTTGAAAACTTATGTCCACACACAAAACTTACACAGGTGTTTTTGGGTAATTTTGTTCAGATTTGCCAAAACTATGAAGTGAACAGCATTTCCTTTAATAAGCAAATGAATAAATAAATGGTGTTACATCCAAACAATGGAATATGATTTGCTGCTAAAAAGAAACGAGCCATGAAGGAGTGAAGAGATAGGGGAACCTTAAAAGCATTTTTTTTTTAAGTGAATACCACCCATCTGAAAAGGCTACATAGGATATGATTCTGATTCTCTGATTTTCTGGAAAAGGCAATAATATGGAGGGAGTAAAAGATTGTGGTTGCCAAGGGTTGAGGAGAGCAGCAGGGATCAATAGAACACAGAGAATACTTAGTGTAGTGAGCCTAGTCTCTATGATACCATAATGGTGGATACATGCCTTATACACTTGTTCACACCCACAGAATATCAAACAGCAGGAGTGAACCCTAGAAAAACTGTGGGCTTTGGGTGACATGATGTGGCAGTGTAGGCTCATCCGTTGTGAAATAGTCATGGGGAAGGTGATAGTTGGAAGCCCATACCTGTGTGGGGGTATGAGGTGGACTGAAAGCCTCAGTACATTGGCCTCATTTTTCTTTGAACCTGGTTGAGATAGTTGAAAAGAAAATAAGTCTTTAAAACATTAATATCAGGGGCACCTGTGTGACTCAGTGGGTTAAAGCCTCTGCCTTTGTCTCAGGTCATGATCTCAGGATCCTGGGATCGTGTCCCACATCGGTCTCTTTGCTCAGCAGGGAGCCTGCTTCCTCCTTTCTGTCTGTCTGCCTCTCTGCCTGCTTGTGATCTCTGTCTGTCAAATAAATAAGTAAAAAATCTTAAAAAAAATTAAAATCAGAGACATGAAACTACTACGTATGAAGAGTTAAAAGCATTTTATGTTATTTTTTTAATTAATTTTTTTTTAGTTTTTTTACTTGTTTATTTGACAGAAAGAGAGAGAGCACACACAAGCAGGCAGAGCAGTAGGCACAGGGAGAGAGAGAAGCAGGCTCCTCACTGAGCAGGGAGCCTGAGGTGGAGCTCAATCCCAGGACCCTGAGATCATGACCTGAGCCAAAGGCAGAAGCTTAACCAACTGCACCACCCAGGTGCCCCAAGTTAAAGAATTTTAGAAATATCTCCCCTAGAAACATTACCTAATGACAGCTTTTCCTTGGCTTTTGAATAAAGTCCCCAAATTTCCATTTTGAAATGATCTAAAAAATTGTATACACATCCCTGGCTGGAAATTTTGAAACTCCAAACTAAAGTTTTAGGAAAAAGCCAGAATCCAGAAAGCAATTGGGATATTTTAAAAAGTGCTTCTTGCTTTCCATGTTAGTAAGCTCATCCGCCTCCTCTAGTTTGTCTCAATTCTGGAGATTCTTTCTTTTCTTCATACAATAGATAAGTTATATGTAATAAATATATATAAGAAATATGTCTCCAAAAGAATATCTTGCCTACTCATGGCTCAGCCATGGAGTCCCCTCGTCCCACTGCCTGTGAGGAGGTTTCAGTCAGTGAATAACTTCCATTTTAGTTCATGTTAATATTGATATAGTTCTCCTTGATACATTATTTATCTCATAGAAGTAATGAAAGACCAGATAGGATCTCATTCTAAGAACCATGTCTCTGCTTCCGATGAGTCCTCAGGGTTGGCTAGGATCAACCTCAAACCCACTAGATCATATGTGCTTGTGAAAATGGTCTTGGGGTTCCATGATGCAGGCAATTTCACCCACTCTGACACCAGTCCACAGTGCGTACAACCAGTCCTCAATACATATTTGTATTGTTATATAGTGTAAAAGAAATTTAGAGTCAGAAGAGCCCTTAGAAATCTTTTAGTTTAACTTAATTTTACACATCAGTGACTGTATCCAAGATGACAGTATGGAACAATTAGGTAGTGAATAAGCTGGGCAAGAAAGGAAGTGGGTTTCCTCACTTCTGGTTCAGCATTCTTTCCCCTGCCTCCTTGCTGTAGGGCCATTGTGCTGAGTAAAGAAAAAGTGTCTAATGCAAGCCCAGCCATATAACTGCAGCTTGGCTCTGAGAAAATTGTGGTCCATTTGGTTAGAATGCCTGAATGGAGAGTTCCAATTTGTGTAAATGTCTGAGACCTTAGGCAGGAAGGGAGACTCAGGCTGAGCCACTGTGTTTCTACAAGCAAACTCATACATCACTCACTGTTTCTGTAGGAGGAAGCCAGAGGTGACGGTGTCATGTGAACACTGACATGTATTTCTAAGGACTTTCCCCAAAATAACAATTATATTTATTATCCCAGGTGCACATCCCTTAAAGGCAGATGAGTATAATGAGCATAACTCACACACTGTCTGCAAAATGATCACTGGGTATTTAGGGTTCCTGCAGCTGGCAGTTCATGAAGATGGTAGATGAAGTTTTCCTAGGCCATAAGGAAAAGCATATTCTATGAAAACATGATGGAGCTGGGAATTTTACACAATGGATGGCCTTATCTGTGCAACAGTTAATCCATGGAAGAGAGTCATTCATATGAATGGTCACATTAAGTTCTGAAGGTCACACCTAAAAATTGCAAAAATTGACCTTCCCACCAGCAGAGGGAATTTTGCCCAGAGAAGAATTTGAGAATTCTTACTTTATGGGGAGTGGAGGATGGAATGGAAGATTCTCAGAATCAAGAAGTTTTCCACACATAAAAACACATTTCATATATATGCATATATTTATATTTTGAGTTGATATTCTTCACTATAGCTGTCTTTAAATCTTTCATGGTGGGAGAGGAGGACACACATGACTTTTATTCGTCCTTTTGTGGATCTAAGAGTAGGGTTCACAGAAATTAGGAAAGTCTTGGTCTTGGAAGTGAGGTAGTCTTGTTTCCCCAGGGATTATTTCTCTAGATCAGTTCTTTAGGACCAGTTTCTTTTTGGTACCATTCCCTGAGCACACACAATGTTTATGCTTCTCTGGATTTTTTCTCACAGAGGTCATCAGAAGATTCCAAGAAATTCATGTGGATGAGAAAGGGGTTTTGGAAGAGAGAGATAATTCTGGAAACTCACAGGATTGGAGAACTTCATCAATGAGTCTTGGGGAAAGAACACTGTCATGGCATTTAGGAGAAATATGATGGAGTATGAAATGTGAAGCCGTGTTGACCAGGAAGTGGGAAGCATCACAGGATGGATAGTGGATTCTTTAGAGAAAACTCTTCTGAGGCTATGAGGCAGCATTGCTTTGGGAGACATGCCATCTATTTTGATTTGGGAAAATGAAAGCACTTCAAAAATAAACTTACATAGTTATATTTTCTGAGTTTGCAGCTTGATGATTTCTCCGAATTTCTACTCTGTCTTTCAATATTTTGCATTATATAAGACACATAGCATTCAAATAGATTTCTCAAAGCAAGTCAGATTTCTCTATGCAGATTTGTCCCTCAGAGACACAGGCTAAGAGAAAAGCATTTCCCCAGCGAGTTCCCTAGAGATGTGACCACAAGATGGCAGTGCACCTGTGCTGATGAAGAACACATGGAGGGTTCATTTTGGTGCATCTGATGGACTAGACTATGGCAGCAACAGAGTCTTTTTCTAATTGGCTGGTAGACAATGTGGGAAAGTACTCTGTTAGAGGAAAGAAGGGATGGTCTGATAAAAGAGGGAGCTGAGCTGGCTGGAGGCTGCAATTCTGAACGTGAGCTTAACTGGGAGGAACCATGAAGACATCCATGAAAGCTTTAATCATGTTTTCGTGGCTGCAGCTCAACTGTGAGTTCAGAGCATATTAGTGGATATTCTTCAGAAGTCAAGACTGACTTTACTCAGGTCAGTTGGTATAGAAAAAGAGCATTATGAAGCACAATAACCTGGAATCTCTTATACTTTCTCTGACCTTTTCTTTCTATAGGGTTCAGCCAGGGAGAGAATGTGGAGCAGCATCCTTCTACCCTGAGTGTCCAGGAGGGAAGCAGCTCTGTTATCAACTGCAGTTATTCAGATGGTGGCTCAGACTACTTCCCCTGGTATAAGCAAGAACTTGGAAAAGGTCCCCAGCTCCTTGTATACATTCGTTCAAGCATGGCCACAAAAGAAGACCAAAGACTCACTCTCTCATTGAATAAGACGGCCAAACATTTCTCCCTGCACATCAGAGACACCCAGCCTGAAGACTCAGCTGTGTACTTCTGCGCAGCAAGCACACATTGCTTCCCAGGCACCTGCTGCCTGCACTCAAACCTGGGACTGGGGCAGCCCCTGTCCTTTGACACAGACCTTCAAGCATAGCTTCTGTGCTGTTGTTTATCCACAAGTGGAAGCCACCATATTAGACATTAAAAGCATATAAGAGAAAGAGTAAGCCAATGATGACTTGGACAGAGTTAGAACATTTTGTTAGATGACTGTTGCCTAATGAATTCTTGAAGGCAGTTAGTACTATTTTATTTTGAAATCTGGGTTTTAAAGATGACTTTACTTTTGCTATTCAGGCTCCTTTTCTATAAATAACTCCTTAGTACCAGTGAACAGTCCTTACTATGGATAGACTCAAACACTGTGTTTCAAAGGTAGCATTTATGATATTTCTGATTCTGAAACATAATTGGACATTTAGAAATATGGAAAGTACAAATATGAAAATGAAAATTCTGTGATCACATAATATTGCTATTACTGTTTTTAGTCTCTAAAATTCCTTATTATAATTATGATCGTGATTTTTTCACTTTATATATTTTGATTTGAGCATGCCCCTTTCAACAATTTTTTCCTCGAAGATCTGCTTTATTTTATTTTTTAATTTAGTCATTTAACATGTGTTTTAAAATAGCTCTGTGAGATATTTTACTTAATTACATTTTCATATTAATTTTGTCCCTCTGTATTTCAGGCAAAATTTGAGAGCCATTGCTATGTGCTTTGATTGCTTTCTTATTCAGAAATTTTGTCACAGGTTTTCCTTTAGAGCCCAGGGATGGTATGTACTATTTGTGTGTTTTGAGGGAAATTAAGCAGGGAGTGGTTTGACAATGTGAGCTTCAGATAAAACTCAGAAATCTATTCTCATTTACAAAATTCCGTATCTGTTCACAAAAACACTTTCATAGAATTTAGGAGACAGAATTTTGTATTTTCTTCACTGCTTTATTTTCAGTAGGTACAACAAACATTTTCACATAATTCATTATCAGTAGATGTTAATGAAAGAAGGATAGAAGAATTCTGCTACTCATAATTTAATTTAAGCTTTATGATTGGATTGAATTTGTAAATTTATTTGTGACAAAAGTCCTTGAAGTGTCTGATTATTTGATTGTTTTTTTGTATTGTATTTTATTGTAATTAATTATTTGATTGTTTTACAACATACTGTTTCTTTCCATTTATATAAGTCTCTTTTTTAATAGTGCTCAGTGGTTCAAAGATAATTCAATTTTTCCTGGACTTGTAATTTTTTGTTATCATTATAATGAAAACTTTTCTTTCTGAGATATATGGGAAAATATTTATATGTATGTATCAGCCACCTTACTATTTTTTAAAAAATTTTATTTATTTATTTGACAGAGAGATAGAGAGATCACAAATAGGCAGACAGGCAGGCAGAGAGAGAAAGGGGAAGCAGGCTCCCTGCTGAGCAGAGAGCCTGATGCGGGGCTCAATCCCGGGACCCTGGGATCATTTCCGGAGCTGAAGACAGGGGTTTTAACCCACTGAGCCACCCAGGCGCCCTTAAAGTTTTATTTATTTATTTGTCATAGAGAGAGAGCCCAAGCAGGGAGAGCAGCAGTCAGGGGAGAAGCAGGCTACCTGCTAAGCAAGGAGCATCATGCAGGACTCAATCCCAGGACCCTGGGTTCATGACCTGAGCAGAAGGCAGAGGCTTAACCCACTGAGCCACCCAGGTGCAGCTCAGCCCCCTTATTATTAGTAGTAGATTGCACAAAGGCATTTGGAGTAATGGCTAATGTAGAGATGACCTGTTACCAACCTCCCTGCCACATATACTCACATTTCACGGAATTAAACAATGTTAATCACAACCTTCTTTTTAAAAAATGTTATTTCTCTGGTGTTGTAGAGATATCAATGGAGCTAATGAAGTTGTGTAAATATTTAATTCTCTCATTCTCCTACCTCTGCTCAAGGGTAGGCTCCTTACAAGGTTCCTCCAGGTCTTCCTCAGTAAGGATGGCTATAACTGGCAATTGTCATGGTGAGAGTGGTTTCTCTAGGCAGAGTTACAGTTGTGAGTTATTTGCTCACTGGCTTTTTCTTATTGGGAAACACATCAAATTAAATTCAGCTTATCACATCTGACCAAAGGAGGTTAGAACTGTAGCCCAACACGTCAATGGACTTGATTCTTTCCCTCCTTATACCGCCAGGTCCTGTGCAGTAGAAGGAAGATGACTCCTGGAGGGTGCCTTTCCTCCAAGCCTGATTATGGAGTCAGAAGGAAGCATGCTTCTATATTATTCATTTGTTTCCTCTTAAGTCCAGTTAGAAGCAAGAGAGAGGGTGCAGTTCCTTCAGGTTTGAATGCTTGATCATACTGAGGTGAGAATTGATACAGTGGAAGAAAAGAAGTATTTTAGCCTGAGTGTGCTCTGAGTCTCAGATCCAGATACATTCAAGTTTAAACCTTCATCATGTTTGGTATATTTGTTTCCTACGTCCTGGGACGAGGTAGTACAAACTTTTAAGCCTTTTCTTGATCCTGTGAAGCCAGACTGGGTGCCGAGAGTCTCCCTTTTGTTTGCTTTCTCTAGGACGGTGCTGACTGAACTTGTGTGATTTCTCCCAATCCGGGGGAGTGGGACTGCTCTCTGCGCATGCTAACTAGCCCCTTACAAAAGCCCACTGCTGTTGTCATCCTGTGTGCACTGGTGGGAGGCCACAGGATGGGATGATGTATGCGTGAAGGGCTGGGTGTTGTGTTTAGGGTTTAGTCTAATTCGGTTTGGTTGTTGTGGGTCATCCATACTTATATTTACTTTCTGAGGGGTCCGCTCGATGATGTAGTTTGTTCCTTCTTACTAACACCTCTAGCATACGTGTGCTCAGTTTGCACATTGGAAGTTTACTTGCTTCCCAATAGTCTTACCCACAAATGCTCATAATTAGGAGCTCTTAGGGGAACACGGTGAAGGAGCAGAGTGTGAATTTTCCACTTCCTTCCGGTCCTTAAATTCAACACTCCTTCAAAAGCACTTTTGGCCAACGCCTGGCTCAGTTTGCAAACTTCCCAGAACTCTTTGTTTGTTTAATGTTCCACACTACATCTCTAACCCCATTCCTGGAGTGCCTTAAATTTTGGATGGTAATGGATGGTTGATAATTGGTCTTGCATTCTAACACTCTCCTATTTGATTTGAAGGCTGATGTGTAGAGTAGAAATCTTAAAAAGAATCTCTTAAAATGTTTTTAATTATAAAATTTTACCATTTTAACATACAATTTACCATTTTAACAGTTTTTAAGTGTAGAATTTACTGGTATGAAATACATTTACATTGTTGGTCAACAAGCAACACCATTGATTTCTAGAATTCTTTTCATCTTGAAAAACAAAATATTTGTACTCATTAAACAATAACTCTCCATTACTCCATCCCTCCAGTCCTTGGGAACTACCATTCTGATTTCTCTTTTCATGATTTTGACTAGTTTAGATATCTCATAGAAGTCGATTTTGCAGTATGGGTCATTTTGTGACATTTCATTTAAAATTATCTCCTCAGGATTCATCTATATTGCAGCTTGTGACAGCATCTCTTTCCTTTTCAAGGTTGAATAATCTTCCAGTGTATGTCATATCCCATTTTGTTTATCCATTCCTATCTGTTGATGGACTTTGGGGTTGCTTCCACTTTTTGGTAGAAATAGGAATTCAGAAACATCTCAATATTTTTGGTATATAGGCAAATTCTTCCCATTTTTGAGTATATACCAGAAGTGGATTGCTGAAGGCAATTCTGTTTCTAGATTTTTGAGAAAGGTTTTTGAGAAAGCTTTCTACTAAATGAAAAAAATCATACAAGTATATTCACAAATATAGCATCTATCTCAAACATTTCACATGATTATTCACATCACTCAAACAATGATGTAAGAATCTGTCATTCTGTCAGACTGATTTTATAAAATATACCAGTAGTGAAAAAAATACAAAATCTTCTAACAAAAATTAATAAAAATGTACAAGACTATCCTTACATACCTCAGGGAAATTATTTCTTATATACATACTCCTAAAACTTTGGATTGGTTTATATGAATAGCATACCAAGTATAGATGAAAAAATAGTCATTTTAGAAATAACTCTTTACTCCCATACCACACAGGTCATATGAGGATTTAAACAAAAATCATGGATTTTGAAATATATATATATATATATATATATATATATATATAATTTATATATATATAATCTTACCTATAAAAACAGTAGTATACAAACTTCAAACTCAAAGGTTATGCACAGTAACACACAAATGTTCTAAATTTTTTAAAAGATTTTATTTATTTATTTGACAGAGAAAGACACAGCAAAAGAGAAAACATAGCAGAGGGAGTGGGAGAGGGAGAAGCAAGCTCCCCGTGGAGCAGGGAGACTGATGTGGGGCTCCATTCCAGGACCCTGGGATCATGACCTAAGCCAAAGGCAGATGCTGAACGATTGAGCCACCCAGGTACCCCCAAATGTTCTAAATCTTAAGGAAACTTTAAAATACCTCTTCTATTTGTAAATAAAACCAGAATAAAACTGATCTGATCGTCTTATTAGGTTAATTTATTCTGGAAACTTGTTAATAAAGTATTGGTGGGAATTCTTAGTCTTCATTATACTGTCACCTGAAGCACTCAATCATTTTCTTCAGTAAAGGAATAAGTAAATGAATAGACTACATGTTAGTTAACACATATTACAACCAGTCTAACTCTGACAATAACAGGAGTGGCCACAAAGTGCCTCAGAGTTAGTTGTGTCTTGAATTTCTCACTGAAGGATTGGGCCAATCTACCTTTGGAACAATTTTATCAGTAGATAGAAACAATAAGTGTCTTTTTATCCTGTTTTCTTAAAATCCATATCACTAGTCTTTAACAGATAGCAATGAGATAGCTCTAGCAGATGAAGCAGGAAGGGAACTATGTTCTAGAAGAAGCATTTATCTGTCTTTGATACAAGCTTCTCAATTAATTCCTGAAGAGGTGCCAACTCATGCCTATCAATCAGATTAAACTCCTGAAGAAAGAAAATAAAGGGCTTAAGGGAGGT